GTGGTGTGTGCGGTTCGTGTGTTGTTTTCATTGATATTTGTCTTGTTCATGTTATTGGTGTTCTACGCTTGATTTTATTATGGTCATTCATTCTTTCATGCTTGGTTAACAGTTAATATTTGCGGGAAAATAAATCTAAACTATTACAAATGGCGCGGGTCCACATCGCCAAAATTAAACCGAACCCGATTTGACGGAAAGTAAATAAAGCAAATAAAAGTGCGAAAAGTATAAATTGTTACAAGGCTTTGGGACATGTACATAATGAATAATAAGCGATAAAGTAAATGTGCGAAATAAGAGAATTAGAAATATGGGCGTTGGACCCTTTTGCAAAAAAATTAAAGTTAATGAATTAATTAATTAGAATTAATGAGGAATTAAAATTAAAGAAAAAAGGAATGTTTTTGGTATTTTATGTTTTTTGAGATTTAATAAAAAGGAATTAATTAAAAACCAAAATGAAATGTTAAACCTAGTTCTAATTATTTTTAAGTTTATTATGAAAGTATTAAAATTTAACCTAAATGCAACCCTAATTAGTTTACAAGTTCAATTATGAAAATAAATAAATCACTAATATTATGGCAAAAAACAAGGAAAATTAAAAGGAATAAAAAGTCATTAAACCTAATGCTATATTTTTGGATTTTTAGTTATTAAGAAGAATAAAATTATAACCTAATTAAAACTAAGTTTATTTACATGCAAAATTTAATTATAGAAAATAAACAAAATAAATATTATTATTAAAAAGGGAAATTAAAAAAAAGCATTAACAATTAAACCTAAATTCTACATTTTTTATATTTTTTATGAAAAGGATTAAAATTGCAAAAAAAACCTAATTATACTAAATTTATTTACATGCAATTTATTCATAAAAATAATTAAATATTATATTTTTTGGCCTTTTCTGATTTTATGATATTTTTGTATTTTGTTAAAAAATAATTAATTAAATAAACAATAATTAAATAAAAGTAATTAAAACAAGAATAAAAATAAATAAAAAGATTAGGGAAGGCAAACCAGGGGGGTAGCCCCAAAATTGGAGGTAAGGCCTAGCATTCTGGCCCATTTATCTTTGAGTTCGTTGACTTTTGAATCCTGTATGATGCGTTGACTGGGAGTATAGCGTGTTCCTTGAACCTTGGCCTTTTGATTGATGGAACTGGACGCGTGTGTTGGCTTGAGATGGTGAACGTATGGTGATCCACAAGGGTGTGCTGCATGAGATTAATTGATGAAAAATGATATGGAACATGTGAAAGACCTGGGGTTCGAACCCAGGTCAAGGGGATTGCTAGCGCTTGCATCAACCACCTGTGCCAATTGACTTATTTGATATATAAATAAACAATGAATATAATAAGAGAAAACGTGGGTTAGTTATTTGGAACGCGCGCAAATTTGAAACACCCAACCACTGCTTGCCAACGCATCATCGTCTTCGTTCTCTTTTTTATTTCCTGAAACATGAAAACAAACAGCAACGGTTTTAACCCGTTGCCATAGAGGCCATATCAAAAAATAGCGAATAGGATTCTACTGGTCATAAATTCATCGCGAGTACACCATTCTAATCGTCCAGACGCGTTGAACTTCGTGGTCTTAGTCTTGGGTCATGATTTTGCCTTGGGTGAAAAACCCCAATTCAAGAACTCTAAAACCCTAAAAATCAGTTATGGCATAATCTTGTATAGCACAGAAAAACATAATTAATGGTGTTAGTTAGCTTCAAAAACTCACAACAAACATGAATCAACAAATAAAAATGGCAAAGGATGCATAAATCGTGACGTGCAATTCCAAATTTTCCTCTGTACAGTTTTGAGTCATTGTACCAATTCTTGAGGTTTTTGTTGTTGTTGTTGATTGGAACGTGATCAGGAGAGTTTGAGGAAGCTATTGGAATCAGTCTTAGGGCTTAAAATTCCCTCTAACCTTGAAATCAGTTTTGTGTTTTTATGGAAAAATTTTCATGTTCCAATGGCTCTTGAGGCGCAGCTTAGAGTGTCCAAGGCTTAGGGTTTGACTCAGTGCTTATGATGGAAGAGAATTAGCTTGTTAGTTGGCCTTAATTCATGCTCATGAAAGAACTAGTCCTAGGGTTTTCACCATTAACCAATTTTCCCTTTTTTTAAGCAAAGACCAAGACTTAGTGTGCAATTTAACCCTAGCCTGAGTTTTTGAGTTGGCCCATGATATATGGAAGTTGTCCAAATTCAAATGACACTATTCCATTGGTTTTTGAATTTTATTTGAATTTTTAAAGATTTAAAATGAATTAAATTATCAAAAATTAAATAAAATAGAAAAATCAATATTTGGTCTTGAAATTAATCATGGGACACGTGTGTGGCGTGACAAGGCTGAATCAAGTGGAAGAAAGTGGGCCCTTTTGTCAAAAATTGAAGTTTCAAGGATAGTTGACTTTTGCCATTTCACAAAAATTTCCCAACTTCTACAAGGCATAACTTGCTCAATTTTTAAGCTTTTCACATGTTCTTGGACATTTTGGAAAGGTATTTGAGTCCTCTAACCAATGCCTTTGGTCCCATGTCATTTTGATTTTCCAATCTCAAGTTATGGCCTTTGACTTAAAGTCCCTTTTTGTTGACTTTTGAAAATGACCTATAATGTTGAAATTGATAACTTTTTGTGAGAGCATTTCTTGGACTTGAAGTATGAAGATGAGTTGTAGGAAATGTCTTTCTCTTCAAAATGAGCTTTGGATGGGATTTTTCTGATAATCCATGTGAAAGTTATGCCCTGGTCAATTTCAGTTGACTTTTTCAGCTATCCAAATATAGCAACTTTTGCATCTTTGATGATTTCTGAGCCAAATTTTGAGAATCATGATCAAGCATTGATCAAATGATGTTTGTGGCTTCAAAATGATATGTTGACCAAAAATTTGAACTTTTGACTGCCAAATGACCATTTTGCCCCTACAGTTGACTGTAGTGCAATTTAGGGTTTTGACTGTGCAATCTTGAGCTGAATGCCTTGAAACTTGATATGAGGATGCTTGACCATGTTTATAAGCATATGAGACTTGATTGAGCCCTTGAAAACTTCCTTTTCTTGATCAGACTCAAAACCCTAATTTTGACTGTATGGGAGACTGTTGCACTGCACAACCCTTGGGGAATTTTGTAACTTGGCTTGGCAATTTCTTGAGGAATATGGGAGGGCAAATTTTGGGGTATAACAATGATGATAACTCACCACCTTTCGAAGACGTCATAACTTATCGAAGGCTTATTGGAAAACTTCTATATCTGACTACCACCAGACCTGACCTTGCATTCATCGTTCAACAACTCAGCCAATTCATCTCACATCCTTTGCAAGTTCATCATTCTGCAACAATTCGAGTCCTCAAGTATCTCAAAGGTGCTCCTGCCAAGGGTTTGTTTTATTCATCTTCCTCTCCACTCAAACTCTCTGGCTTCGCATACTCAGATTGGGCAAGTTGCCCTGCTACCCGCAGATCCGTAACTGGATATTGTGTGTTCCTTGGCAATTCCCTCATATCCTGGAAATCCAAAAAGCAGTCTACAGTATCCAAATCAAGTTCAGAAGCGGAATACAGGGCCTTGGCAAGCTTGACTTGTGAATTGCAATGGCTGCAGTATTTGTTCAAGGATCTCCACATCTCCTTTGATCAACCTAGCTCGGTCTATTGTGACAACAAAAGTGCTATCTACCTTGCTCACAACCCCACCTTCCATGAACGGACAAAACATATCGAAATTGATTGCCACGTCATTCGTGAGAAAATCCAAACTGGTCTCATCCACCTTTTACCAGTTTCTTCTGCTGCTCAATTGGCAGATGTTCTCACCAAGCCTTTGGCAGCTCCCTCTTTCGATTCTCTTGTTTCCAAGCTTGGTCTATTAGACATCCATAGCCCAGCTTGTGGGGGGCTATTACATGATGAAAATAATTCAGTTTAGTTAACTTTGGTGATTTGTTACTTAACAGTATATATAATACTGTCTTGTACATTCCATAACAATAATAATACAATGAGCTTATTCCAAAATTAACAATTAGTTAAGGGAAGAAGAACTTATTAAGTTAACTGTGATGAACGATTGTTAATCTTAATTTGTGTTTTTTTGTTTAACTTTTATGGTGTAACAATTGTTTTGAAGCTGATTTTGTCTTGGTTTTAGGATGTTTTGTTTTAGTTTTTTTGAGTTCTAGTTTTAGTGTTCTGGTGCAACTTTATCATTGATTAAAGTGTAATGTTTTTACTTTTGAATTGAATTTTACTTTTTTGCTTTTCAAAAAAATTGTGATAAACGATTTGTGCAAGTGTTTGAATATAATAGTATAAAAATGACACATGCTTTTGCATCTTGTTCCCTTCATTAACCTCGATTTTTTTTCGTCTCTTCAAATTAAGAAAAATACAATTTCCTTATAAATCAATTTTGATTGAAAACTGGTTTAAACCGGTTTTAAACCGAATTGAAACCATTTTACAATTTTAAATTGATTATTATAAAAAACGGTTTGATTTTAAAACTAGAACCATTAAAATGGATTAGTTCTTAAAATTTAGTAACCATGCACACCCCTATTATTTACCCTTTATTTTGTAGGAGAAAAGCAAATTCAATATCTTCTGTTTCTTTCCATTTTCAATGCAAAATACTGAAATAAAGCATGCCATTATATCATCTACGTAAATAGTAAAAAGGAATGTTAAATTATGTATTGGATTGTTTTTGCATTTTAATGTCTTTAAAATTTAATTTTTCATTATATTATATTGTTGAAAAATAATGACATCACTTTAACACATTTAAAATAATTAAAAAAATTATATTAAAACATAATTGGTTGGGGGTATTGAAGAAGATGGTTTGGTTTTAGTTTTTTTTTATGTTGATTTTAAATTTTATTTATTTTTATCTCATAATTTTGAAGAGATATTTAATAAAAAAAACATCCTTTTCAGGTTTGATACTGTTGAAATTTTGATGAGTGCATGCCAAGTGTGCCCTGTTTGGTGGAATATTTGTAAGGATCCTCTCATGTGGCGCACTATTAAGATGACCAATCTATGGTATAGTCTTTATGATGATGTGGAATTGTTGAAGATTTGTTTCAGAGTTGTTGAACGAATTTGTGATCATCTTGAAGAAATTGATATTGTGCGTTTTGGCACCAATAATCTCCTTGAATGCATAACTGATAAGTAAGTAATACCCAAGTTTAGTTCATAGATATTTTATTGTTTTCATTTACCAATCTGTTTAAAATTTTTACTTCAAATTTTACAGGGCAGTCACCTAGATTCCATGCGGTTGGTAGATTGCTGGAATATTTCTGATAAAGGGTGTTGTGAAGCTGTGAGAAAGCTTCTGTGATTAGAGATGATTGATATTTTACTTACCAACTTACACAAAGACTCTCTCAAAGTCCTTGGTCGATCTTGCCCTCTTTTGAAGTCACTTACATATTCTATTGAAAGGTCGTTGGAATATCGTGAATATAATGCTATAGCTTTTGTTATCGCTGAAACTATGTCTGAATTACTACGATATAGCAGAAGATAGGTTTAACTAATCTTTTACGAAAGTTTGTAACATGAAGAACAGAACGAGTGGCTTATCTATTCACATTCTCAAGACGGAAACTTCGCCAAGCATTGAAACTATAGATTTTTTAAGTAGTTTTTTTTTTTTTGTCTAGAAGATTTGCTGGATTCAAGTTTCTGAAGGAGATTGTTTGGATTAAAAAACTGTGAGTTTGGACGGTTGAAAAAATGTGTTAATTCAAAATTTCAGGGGATGAATTAAAATACTTGATTTTGGCAACCTGCATGTTTTATTTGTTCTTTGGCGTGTTCTTTGGAGTTTAATTTTTTTGGATAATATCTTATAATTTGTAACATATTCACTTTATGTAATAAAGACTTTTTCTTCCATTTCGATAATGAATGTGTTTCTTCGTCACAGCTTCCCATCAGGTGAGCAAGGTTGGTGCTTATTCAAGAATAAAGCAAGAACTAGAGTCAAAGAAAAAAGAATTCACCTATGAAGAAGTATTAAGCATTACCAGAAACTTTGAAAAGGTGGTGGGGGAAAGAAGCATCTGAAATAGTCTACCATGGCTGGATTGTGATGATATTGACGTAGCTGTCAAAATGCTATCTTTCTCATCAGCTCAAGTGTTGTGAATTCAATGCCAATAACAAAGTATAGAATAAGGGAGGAATAACGAACAAGGAAGAAGAAGAACACAAGAATTGGATATAACTGCTATTCTTTACTTTCTCTTAGAAAACAAGATTACAAGTTTACAAGAATAACAAATAACCCTCTCACCCTAAATTAGGATTTGCTGTGTCTGCAATGATGAGAGACTAGTATGCTATTTATAATAAAACCTAACATACTAACTAATGGGCTTTTGCCACAAGGCCCATTATACAAGCTAACTTAACAATCAAGCTAACTTAACAAATTAGGGTTTAAACACTAAAACCTAATTTAACAAGCATCCTTCGACAGATACATGCTAGACCCTTCTTCGACTACAGCATGTACTTCGATCATACTAGAGTTCGATCCAAAATCCCACAAATCTCCACCTTGGACCTAACTCTACAGCATCAAGAGACACTAACTAGCTTTCTTCATGCAGCTTTATCAACTGCATACAGTGGAAAAACTTGCAACTTGGCAATGTTTTGGTGATCATATCCGCGGCATTGTGATCTGTCGAGACCTTCAGCACTTGGACTTCTCCACGCTCGATTACCCCTCTGACGAAATGCAGCCTCACATCTATGTGCTTGGTTCGCTCATGATAGGCTGAGTTCTTCGACAGGTGTATTGCACTTTGACTATCACATTTAACAGTGATACCTTGACCTTGAAGTTTCAGCTCCTTCGCAAAACCTTCAAGCCACAATGCTTCTTTCACAGCTTCAGTTAGGGCAATATATTCTGCTTCAGTAGTTGATAAGGCAACAACCTTCTGAAGAGTTGCTTTCCAACTAATTGCTGTACCAAACATGGTGAAAACATATCCAGAAATAGATTTTCTGGAATCCATACAGCCTGCATAATCAGAGTCAACATAGCCTTCGACAGCTGCTTTACTATCTTCACCCAAGGCTCCACCATAAATTAAGACTCTGTTCAGAGACCCATTTATGTACCTTAGAATCCACTTTAACGCTTGCCAGTGAGCCTTTCCAGGATTCGCCATGTACCTGCTTACAAGACTTACTGCATATGCTATGTCGGGTCTAGTACAGACCATAGCATACATCAAAGAACCAACTATATTAGCATATGGGATGCTTTTCATATAGGTTCTTTCAACATCAGTACTGGGACATTGATCAATGCTCAGCTTGAATTGAGGGTTTGTTGGAGTCACAACAGGCTTTGAATTCGACATACCAAACTTGTCAAGAATCTTTCGTAGGTATGCCTCTTGAGATAAGCATAATTTCGACTGCTTTCTATCTCTTCGAATGTCAATTCCAAGAATCCTAGATGCAGCTCCCAGATCCTTCATGTCAAACTCCTTATTGAGTTCAGCCTTCACCCTCATTACATCTTCGACATTGTTGCTTGCTATCAGAATATCATCAACATAAAGCAACAAAATAACAAACGAATTTTCAGGTCGAAATCTGGAGTAAACACAATGGTCGAACTGACTTCTAATGAAACCTATGTGTTCCATGAACTTGTCGAATCTCTTATTCCACTGTCGAAGATATTGTTTAAGTCCATATAAAGATATCTTCAGTTTGCACACATAATCTTCTTTCCCCTTTTCGACATACCCTTCAGGTTGTCTCATCAGGATTGTTTCATCTAAGTCACCATACAAGAACGCAGTCTTCACATCCATTTGTTCCAGTTCAAGGTCGAACTGAGCCACCATGGCAAGCAACATTCGAATGGATCTGTGCTTCACAACAGGGGAAAATACATCATTGAAGTCGACACCTTCTTTCTGAGTGAAACCCCTTGCAACTAATCTTGCCTTGTACCTCTTCGACATTACTCCTTCAATTCCTTCCTTAACTTTGAAAATCCACTTACAGCTGACTAACCTTGCCCCAACAGGTTTCTTGATTAGTTCCCAAGTGTGATTATCATGAAGAGATTTCATCTCATCATGCATGGCCTTTAGCCATTCAGTCTTCATTCGACTCCTCATAACTTCCTTATAATCTCTAGGTTCTTCGTCTAGAACTTCACTTGCAGAGATTAAGGCATACGCTACAAGATCTGCATATCCAAGTCTCTGAGGTGGTTTTATGACTCTTCTTTGCCTATCTCTCGACAATAGGTAGTCATCAACAGTTTCCTCAACATCATCAGAATCTTCCGTTTCTTCTTCGACTTCATCTGGGATATGCATTTCAGCATCAACATGCTCCACCTCAACAGGAATCTCTACCTGTTCCAGCTCTTCGTCAACATCATCAGTTTTCTTGAAAGCCATTTCAGTTTCATTGAAAACTACATCTCGACTGGTGATACACCTCCTGTGACCTGGCTCTAGGCACCATAGCCTATAAGCTTTCACTCCTTCAGGGTATCCCATAAACATGCATTTCAGAGCTCTAGGTTCGACCTTGTCTTGCCTAATGTGAGCATAGGCTACACAGCCAAATACTCTTAGTTTGTCGAGATCTGGTGGATGTCCCGACCAAACTTCTTCGGGTGTCTTCATATCTAACGCTGTCGAAGGACATCTGTTTATCAGATATGCTGCTGTCGAAACAGCCTCAGCCCAAAACACCTTCTTTAATCCCGCACTAGTCAGCATGCATCTAACTCTCTCCAAAATAGTTCGATTAAACCTTTCAGCCAAACCATTTTGTTGTGGAGTACCTGCGGTAGTTCTGTGCCTTGCAATACCAGAGGCAACACAAAAATTTTCGAACGCCTCATTGCAAAACTCAAGGCCATTGTCGGTTCTCAACCTCTTTACCTTTCTGCCAGTTTGATTTTCGACAAGAGTCTTCCAACTTTTGAAATTCTCAAAAGTTTCATCCTTAGTCTTCTGGATGAATATCCATAACTTTCTGGAATAGTTGTGATCGGTGGATCTGGAACTGACTGTTTAACGCTGGTTCGCGAAATGTCGCGGAAGCAAGAGTCGCCACCGTCTTTTATTTTCTCCAAATGGAAAGGACAAAAGCACAGAAAAATTCCTTTAAAGAGATTGCTCTCGGTTCGGGAGGTAGGTTATAGAAAGGGAAGGTATTAGCACCCTTTCTATCCATGGTTATCCATGGGCTCTTAGATACTTGCTCACTTGTGTTTTCAAAACTGGTTTGTTTGCTTTTCAATGTGGGTTTTAACAAAAGTTTCTTTGAAAATTTCAGTTCGACTCTTGTATCAGTCCTCAAGAGTGTTTGAAAAAATGCTTTCGAAAGCTTTTTGAAAATGTGTTGGTGTGAAAAGTATTTTTGATTTGTTTTGTTTTGAATTAGAGCAAGTATCCACGAGTCGTCTACCTACCCTAAGGAATTCGTCTGTGTAAATGTCCTTTAAAGTAGTGCCATCCCACCATTGAGAGGTAGGTAGCACCACCGTTGGAGGTGTTCGGGTCAATTCGAGTTTTAGGGACGTGGTGATCACCGGAGCAATAGGAAGACACCTTAGAAGCTACCCTCATGCCAGGTTCCCGGATCATGAGGACTTACTAAGACGTCCTCTACTCGACGACCTCCTTTCGAAAGGCAACAGTGAGGCGTACCCTAGGGGTGGTGTGTGCGAATTGTGTGTCGTTTTCAGTTATTTGTCTTGTCATATTTATTTGTGATCTACGCTTGATTTTAATTAGGGCCATTCATTCTTGCATGCATATTTAACAGTTATAAAGTTGCGGAAAAATAAATCTAAGGCTATTACAAAGGCGCGGGTCCACATCGCCAAAATTAAACCGGACCCGATTTAGCGGAAAATAAATAATGCGAAGTAAATAAAGGTGCGAGAAATTTAAATTACAATGCTTTGGGGCAATTACATAATTACAATGAACGATAAAAATAAATCATGCGAAATTAAGGAATTAAACAAAACTAGGGCGTTGGACCCTTTTGCAAATAATTGAAATTAACAAGGAGAATTAAAAAATTAAATGATTAAACGCTTTTTTTGGTATTTTGTGTTTTTTAGATTTAAAAGAAAAAAGGAACAATTAATTAAAATTAAAATGCTAAACCCTAGTTCTAATGTTTTTTTATTTATTATGAAAGAATTAAATTAAAACCTAAATTAAACTCTACATTAATTTATGTACAATTTTTAATTTATGAAAATAAAATAATGAATAAATAATATTGTTATTCTGAAAAAAAGGAAAATTAAAAAAAGAAAATAAAAGG